CTCTGTGCAGAGACCTTCAGAGAAGGGAATCAGCTGGGAAAAAACAGGCCTGCTGCTGAGCACCCGTATTGGTGACCTGGTCTCTTGGCTCAAGGCTGCTTTCCCACAAAGCCATCCAGTCATCCGCCAGGTCCAGGGGTTATTAATGTTCAAAATACATCTGATGACCCAGCTGAGGCAGGTAATATGAAGGCAGACAGAAATGAACTTTAGCACTGATTTAGTGATTTTAGAGAGAGATGAAATTCTGAAGTTATTCAAGTCCTAATTCTGCATTTTGCCAACAAAATTCTCCTTGATGCTATTCAGCACACGTTGGAGCTCTTTATATCTTTCTTAAGAGGCAGAGATCTTTTTCTGATGAAGCGACTACTATGAACTCTAAGGGTGGGCATTTTAAAACCCAAGAATATATTAAGAGCTGTAACTGAAGGAAGACTTTCTCATTTAAGTCTCAGGCAAGGTTAAAGAAAGAACCCTCTCCAGCTGAAAAGTAATTTTCAGGATGAAGTCTGGGGCTGTTGTTATTTGTAAGTGAGAAAGGAACAAAAATCTGATGCCAAGTGTTGGAACACAAAGGTACTTCCAAGAAGGAGGCTGCAAATTGGGGAATGGAAGATGGGACCTTGCACTGTTAACTGGCAGCAGTTCAGCTCCGGATTAATAAAAGTCTTTAACACTTAGAAACTTCTTTATTTGCGGTCTCAATTCTTGTCTTAGTCTCAAGCCAACTGGTATTCACATACACTGTTTCAGGAAACCTGTAAGGAGACTGACCATACACAGCTGATCTGAGAACAAAGCGTTTAAAAAAATCCAAGTGATTTGGAGAAGAGAGATGACAATACACAATTTCCTAAACTTACTGAATTGTGTTAGAACTTCATGTTTAGTAAAATACATTTGAATTACATAAAAGCAAGATTGTTTCAGTGTGTACTTTATTGAATTAATTTAAGAAAATGTTAGGAATTCCTTATGTTATTTTTAACAATTTTTTAACGAGCAAAAGTCAAAGTGCATGAAGGGGAAGAATACATACCCACATTAAGGAAGAACGAGAACAATCCCTAGCACAAGAACATCCCACAGTACAACTACACCTACTGGCCCCTTGGTACAAGTGGTTCAGTCTATTTCCAGATCACTGTCTTCACTGTAACATGCAGAGGGATTATGTATAGAAGTCAGGAGCACGAGGTCTTTTTCTGGAAGCAAACCACATTCCTGCAGAAAAGCCTCCAGGTCTACAGCAAAAAAATCTTCTCCAAGCTGGTCAGTGATTCGCACAAAATTGCCGATGAGCTCACCTGCCTTATAGATCAGCAAAGCTGGCAGAGCATTATTCGTAAAGCGAGTGCTAGCACCAATGAGCGAACTCTTTACTCTGCAAAATTTAACTGTTGGATACTCAGCAGCCAGGCAGATCATACAGCCGTTCAGGGATTCGGTGCCAGGGATATCGTCTTCATAAATATGGATCATGATCAGTGTGCTCTTATGCTCTTTGTCAACTGTGTCCAAAAACGCTTCTCCACTGGTAATCTCAAAAACCTGTTTAAATTGCTGCCCGCTGTACAACTGCTGTCTCATCTCCTCCATTCGCTGCTTCCTGTATCGCTGTAAAAATTCCTCATCATCTTCATCATTGTGAATCATGTTATATTCTTGTAACGTCATCTAAAAAACACATACAAAGATACATGAAAAAAAGATCTGCATCACTATATGGGTCACTTATATAATGAGAATTTAAAACAAGAGGATTAATGTGGGTCACTCATCTTTAGTAACAGCGAAGTGCAACCCATGAAGGCTCAAGCACCCTCTGTATTATACTCCATTTTGATCTAATTAGAAACCACGTCCGGTGGGAACAGCGATTTCAGCCTTGGGTATTCTCGTTTCCACAAGCTGCACTAATAACACAAGTGGCTGCTCCATGCTCCCACTTTAAATCAGGCTAATGGTGACTATGTGCTTTCACTAAGCTATGAGCACTGATTTGGGTACCGTGCCTGACCCAAGTCTAGCTTATTTTTCATTAGCTTTTTCATTTAGTTTTTCAGTTAACATTTTGTGGCAACCAAATGCACGATCTTGTCTATAGAACTAAAATTAACAGGATTTTATGTATTTCGTATCTGTTCACTTGCTTCACTAAACATACTTGCATCACTCAAGGTATAGGACAGTGTTGCCAACTTACATCATCTGAAAGCAAGAAACACTGTCTGCTAATTAGTAACTTCTCTGACTAGAACTGTAAAAGCTAGTTATACAGCCCAGATGATTAAAACCATTCACTACTTCCAACGCCTTCTATCTTTGGAGCTCAAAGTCAAAGCTAAATTCTCAACATTCACTTACTAAATATGAAATCAATAAGGACTCCTAAACTCTTGTTTTAGGCATGGGAGGCAGTATTCATAGGTTTGCTGTGCAACTCTTTGTATTAACCCCCTGAAGTTGACTTATTTGATAAACAGATAAGGGAAATCTGGGAAAAGGATTTGGACTTCTTAGGTATAGCAGCTAAATTGCTTATTTCTTAACACAGGCAAACACAGTGCTCCTGGAATACCACTAAAATGAAAAATAATTAAAATTGACAACACCTGGGAAATACAGTTATAATGCACTTTTATACCGCTGCTGGTTTCCTGTTTACTAGGGAGAAACGATACATAGCTCCTGACAGAACAAGGATTCCTATCCGCTTCACGTATGCAAATGATGAAACTGAGAATGTTAAACATTTAAGTGGCATTTTAATTCCTTCATGCCATGCTACCTTTCCATTGATTTTTTCCTGAAGCTCTTTCTGCTTCTGCTTATCAGTCTCTTCATCTAAGTGCGATCTGCATGTCATAGATAACTTTTTTATGAGTCGTTCCATTTCTCTGCGCTGCTCCTGCCGCTGTTCAGTTTCCAGTTGTTTAAATCTTCGCCAGTCATTAATGACTCCTTTGGGACCTGAAATTAAATACGTAGGCATTTCGTATAAAAGGGTAATAAAATTACACCTATCAATATAAAATTCAAGTAATAATTTGCAAGTCAGCAGTAAAATAGTGGCCCTGTCATAAACTTTTTGTATATTGTGCAAAATGTTGAAATTAAATGAAAGAAGTAATTTGCCATTTACATGTCCTTGAGCTTGTATCTTTTTTTTCTTTTCCTAAGACGACTAAAGCTTATCTAACTAGGCTACTCTCATAATTGTCCCAAAGATTATTCCAAAGATTAATACCTGTGCTCTTGAAATAGAACCACCAGCCCTCAAGAATTCCCCTATTGTTTGCATGGATTTTCATAAGAACAAAAATAATGATGGGAAAGAATAATTAAGTTTGCCAATGCTCTTGTACAGAAGTACATTCTGTGATGTACAACAGTGTTAATTCCTATAGACTGCACCTTGCTGTTACCTTGCTGCTGGGGCCCAGCGGGGTTACTTTTTCAGGTCCTCTCTAAGCATGCCAGTTTAGTACTATAATTCTTCCATTCTTCCTTCAGGTGAAAGATGTGAACACAGGCAGGAAGAAGATTTTTCATCGTTCTTAGAGAAACCATAAAACACAGAGGGCCAGTCTTTGATAAGAACTTAAGAAATACCCTCTGGATCATACCAATGATCCACACAGACTCGTATTGTGCCTCTGACAGTGGCAGTAGCGAATGCTGTTTTGGGAAAGCCGGGCCACTTTCTGTCTATTCCTCATGTACTTGTTCAGCACGTGTACCTATTAGTGGTTAACAACTGTGAGGCTTACAGGAAAGAAATGTATGCATTATCAACCAAATTGTACAAATCAGCTTTGTATGCAAAGCCTAACCACTTTAGATATAATGCTGAAGTCTCTCAGAGGAGACGTCAAACATTAAAATAAAGAACCGGCTAGTAAAAGTAAGGTTAGGCCATAGCCAGGAAACGATCAATCTCTGACTCAAGTACGCATAAAACCAGGACTTTCACTTTGAAAAATGAGTTTTAGAAAAAGACATGAATCCTCCAATGAACAAAGTATTTGCAAAACAATTAGTCTGATATGACGATACCTGTGTTGACTGCACTGCCATCGCTGCTAAGCTCTACTTCCCCAACGCTTTCAGGAATGGTGCTCTCCCCTTCTTTATCTTCCTTCTCACTGTCTTCATCCTCACCCTCACTGCTGCTGTAATAATACTGGAGCTTCTCACCAAGCAGTTTATCATCCAAAGTAGTCATTATGTTCTAAAAAATAAATTCACAAAATAGATCGTGTATCTCTTATTCAAATATGCAGTGCAAGATACCACTTTAAATGAATGATGATAGTCCTTTACTTCCTCAGAGCAGTTTTTTAGCCACGTAAGAACAGTTTACAGCCCACTATCAAACAGCCTATAGCGCAGTCACGTGAGTTAATTCTTAGTCACAATTTCAAACTCACTTAAGTTAAAAACCTTTACGAACAGAACTGCTTTGAGGCTCACTAGTGCAGAAACACTTTATGTGCGTTCTCACTCATGGAGAATGAATTTTCTAACTGTGATTCAGGAGTCTTATCAGCCTCACTCAGACAGCTCCATGAGGTTGATTTCCCAGTTATTGAAATTTAAATTTCCAGTATTATTTGCAGTATTTTAACAATGATCTATCTGAGCTGAAAAATGATCAATGTAATTAATCAAATTAAAATGTTCTGACCTTTATTCCTTTCCAGTCTTTCAGAGACAAGCTTCTATCAAAACCTGGAAGAATAAATTTCAGATTATATTAATTCAAATTGTCGAAGACAATCTCAAAAAAACTTTTGCGGAAATCTGGCACATTTAAATAACATACACATATACGGAAAAAAAGTTTAAAGAAAATGTAACCACGTTTGCTGTTAATAAATAAAAAAGGTTACTCTCAAACACAGAAAACATACTGTCCAAGTACTGAGACAGAACATACAAATGCTTAGTGCAGTCAGTGCTACAGTTGCATGAACATCGCTTCCAGGCTAAGAAATAACATATCAAAAGAAAGATCTTCATGTCTGTCATCTTTTCACCTGTCCACTAACCGCATCGGTCATCTTCACAGAAGTCAACAGCATCCTGTTTGTATGGACAACACTGAAATTAGATGCTGACACACTGATAAAGTGATTGCAGCTATCCTAAAAATCCTCACTTCTCCCGAGTTAAACATTTTTTTTCATCCAAAATACCTTCTGCTAAATAGAAATTAACAACAGCAGAATTTGACTGTCAGTCCACTGACTCCTTCCACTACAATCCTCTAAAAGAGCTGCTGATCGGATCTCATCCTGAATGGAGACGTAAAACGCCTAAGAATTACTCTTCTTTCCCAGGTGAGGGGCAAAGGGTGTATGAAGGAGTGCCACTAAGGTCAGATATGTGGCTGTGGACCTGTGATGCACAAACTACATCTGAATGCCCACAAAATTTCATTTAAAAAAAAAAAAGCAATTTCAATCAAATCAGTTGATTTGGGCTCACGCTTAATTCTGCAGGACTCTACAAGTCAGCCCTATTAATGTATATTTGACAAAGACGCCCCGAGCAATGCATGGATAAAGTAGGGCTTTTAGTTTTTCTGCCAACTGCTAGCAGGTTCTGCAAGAGTTAAACCCAGATTAAGCAGATTATCGAGGTGGCCAGATGGCCCAGGATTACTGAGATCACTTCTCAAGAGCATCGCAGAGCGACATGGAAGAGGCACCCCGAATTCAGGCGGGGACAGGCACAGCTGCAGCCATACCCGGGGCATGACAACACACCGCCACGAAGCGTACCGTTTTATAAACGCGGATCCTCAGCCAGGGGCGCTGGACGATGCAAAGGCAGAAAGCAAAACAGTTTAGTTTCACACAAGAGGGCAAGCGCTCTGCACGCCCGTTCCCAGCCGCCCCCTCAGCTCGGCCGAGCCCCCCCGCCCCGCTCAACCGCTCCTCCCGCG